CATGGAACAGGCATTTGTGAAGAATGTGGATTCTGGGAGCTGAATTCATGTCCTCTGGGAAAACAGCAAACACTTTTTTTTTTCTTTTTGGTTTTTCAAGACTGGGTTTCTCTGTCGCTTTGAAGCCTGTCCTGAAACTAGCTTTTGTAGATGAGGCCAGCCTCTAACTCACAGAGATCCACTTGCCTCTACCTCCTGAATGTTGGGATTAAAGGCATGCATCATTACACCCAGCCCCTTAGTTAGGATATTAAAAGCATTCTATCTTTTTCTGAGGGTAGAACAGACATGGAGGAGGCACCACTATGTAGAACAAAGGCTATCATCCCCCAAAGTCCATGGGAATGATGGTGGGCCCTGGACCAGATTAGTAATAGTAGTGGTTAAAGTGGCTGAATTATGGTTAGACAAGCTGATTTGCGAGGTTTGAATGTGAACCAGTTTTGAGTAAAGAACTCTCCCAATGGTCAGCTTAAGCACCTGGGAGGATAGAACTACCGTAGATGTGGAAAAGACCAGCTCTGTAGACGAGGCTGGCCTCAAACTCAGAGATCCGCCTGCCTCTGCCTCCCAAGTGCTGGGATTAAAGGTGTTTGTCACCACCATCACTCAGCTATTGTGTGGAAATCACTCTGTAGACCAGGTTGGCCTTGAACTCACAGAGCTATGCCTGCCTCTGCCTCTTGAGCTAGTATAGTACTACAGGGAAGGACTATAAGTGTCTGAGAAGCATCAAGGAGAGACAGCCATTAGGACAAGGAGCTGGTTCCTGCCTCACACAGCCATAGCATAGACATGATCTTATTTTTGCTGTTGTAGGGCCTGATGGCCTTTGAGGATGTGGCTGTGTACTTCTCCCAGGAGGAGTGGATGTACCTGGATGCAGCCCAGAGGGCCCTGTACCGCCATGTAATGCTGGAAAACTTCGCACTTGTAGACTCCATAGGTAAAGTCCTGAATCCTCCATTGGAAGCAAAACTGGGACCAGGTATGGCAGCCAGGTTTGGGGGCCATTGCAACTGTCCCCTCTGCTCCTTAGCTGTCTATGAGTAGGGTCCGCTATCTATAGGCCATGTGAGGAAAGCTGGGGCCCTGAATACATGCAGTCTGATAAACACCGCCATCTCCTGTATCCCTGAGGTGCTCGCTGGCTACATTCTTCTCTCTGCCTGAGTTCTAACCCCTTCATTTGGAGCTGCTGACCCAGTGGTTCCTTATGGGAACTCTTGAGCTGGCCCTGTGATCCTCCTGTGTGGTGGCCTTTTGGGTACATAGATTACATGGTTGATATCCATGCCCTCCTTCATCCTGCTCTTCGATGGGGCTGGACTGTCCTGAGCTGGGGCTGGCCTCACATGCTCCTTCTCCCTTCATAGGACTCTCTGTCTCTCGGCCTCGTGTGATCATCCAGCTCCAGCGTGGCGAGGAACCCTGGGTTCCCAATAGGACAAATACAGGCCCAGGCACTCACAGGAGCACCCACAGGAGACCCAGCCTTGGTGAGTTGGGCTCCACCAAAGGTGAACTTGGGGCCAACATGGGATTCTCCTTTCTCCCCTTCCTGGTATCACAGACACCTTCCTTTCCTGTCTCCAACCTAGCTCCCTTCTCTTGCTGAATCCTTTTCTCACCCTGTGGCCTTTCCTGCCCTTAAAGGAGAAACTTAAAGGGCACAGGTGCTGCATCCATGCAGGAAATGACTCCTCCTGAGGCCCTCCCTCACCTGTGCTGTGGGGGTTGACTTTCCAGACTGACTGTCACATCTGTAGGGCCATTCCTTCTGCCCAGCTGTTGTTTGAACACTTCTGCTTGGGATGTTCATGGCATGGGACACAGCATCGGCCAGGACACTGCAGTGTGGTGTGGGGACAGTGCCAGGGAAAAGCGGTCAGCAAACAGTATTGATGAGTGGTGTATATCCTCAAGAGATGAGCAACAAGGAGAAAGCAGCTAGGAGTGTGTGCTTGGGAGAAAATGCCGTCCCCCCCCCAACCAGTGCAAAGTCTTGACCATGTGTCAGGTCCGGCCCAACCTGTTTGCATATTCCTGAAAAGGGGAGTGAGGATTGAGGGAAGAAATAGGCAAAAGACAGAAGATAGAGTCAGGAGTGCTTCCAGTGAGGCTCAAGTTTATTATTCATAGCCCTTCTAAATCCCAAACAAAAGGGGAGGGCAAAAGACTTCCCTCCCAATGATACAAGGAAAAAACAAGCGTAATTACCTCCTTAAATCTCAAAACACCTCATAACCATGTCCTAAATCAAACATCCTGTTGTCTGGTCTTTGAGTAGCGAGACATCCGGTAGCCACACCTTTGGCTGAGCGTTCAATTATTTGTCCTTCAGTAGCAAGAATAGGTTTGAACTCTGATGGACCCGTGTTGCCTACAACAGAGTTTCACAGTCTGAGGATAAACTCACAGAAAGAGTAGGAATCTGCAGTCCTCTGCGTGTACTGGGAGCTGGAACTGAATCCAGCAGCTAGGAGACCTGCAGAGGCTTTTCATCTGCATTTATAGTACATGAGACCACGGTCAAAGTGGGCTGGTATCTTAAAGGCTATTGACTGAAGGAGTTTGGATTCAAAACTGTGGACTCCTGACAACCATGGAGGGCCATTGCTGTCAGGAAGGCCAAGAGATGTCAGCTCTTCCCTACCAACTTCTGCCAGGACCAGCCTACACCTCTGCTTTTCTCTCTGCCCTTTTACACTTACTTCATAGGGTCCCCCTGACTGCCCAGGCACTCTGCCCTGGTCACTTCCTGGCCAGATGACACAGGTAACTATCTTTCCTCTGTCTTCAGGATCCAATCGCAATGCAAGGGATAGACACGCGTCTGGAAATGCAGCACTTCTAGGGGCCACTTGTGACAGTCCTGATGGAATACCCACTAGTGTCCTTCCCCCTGCTGGTTCCTGCACTGATGCAAAGATCCTGGAGGGACACCAGAGTGCCTCCCCATCTCCGCAGAGAAAACCCACAGGGGTATCTGTGATCTATTGGGAGCAGCTACTGCTAGGTTCCAGCAGCAACGAGGCAACTGTTAGCCTGCGATTGACTTCCCCAGTGGGGATTCCTGAAGAGGGTTCATCCAGAGTGAAGGGCTTGTCTGACCTCCTAACCCCAGAGAAGCAGCCACAAGGAGTTGTGCAGCAAAAGCCAGAGTTGCAGCTAACCCCAGGGAGAGTCTTCCCAAGTATCCCAGATCTCCATGGGGCTGAGGAGGAACGTGGAATGAGTGGGGCTTGGCTCGAATCTCAGAGAGACTCCAGTGTTCCAGAGCCCCCACTATGGGACAAGCTGGGGGAGGCCTTCCAGGCTGGCCCAGGACTTCTCTCTGGGGACAAACCTTTTGAATGCAGGGCATGCAACAAAGTGTTCGTGAAGAGTTCAGACCTCCTCAAGCACCTGCGCACGCACACGGGAGAGCGGCCTTATGAGTGCACCCAGTGCGGCAAGGCCTTCAGCCAGACATCACATCTGACTCAGCACCAGCGCATCCATAGCGGGGAAACGCCCTATGCATGCATGGTATGTAGCAAGGCCTTCCGACACAGCTCCTCATTGGTGCGCCATCAGCGCATCCACACGGACGAGAAGTCCTTCCATTGCAGTGAGTGTGGCAAGGCCTTCAGCCACGGCTCCAACCTCAGCCAGCACCGCAAGATCCACATGGGAGGGCGGCCTTATGCCTGTGCTCAGTGTGGCCGCCGCTTCTGCCGCAATTCGCATCTCATCCAGCATGAGCGCACACACACCGGGGAGAAGCCCTATGCTTGCTCCCTCTGCGGCGCAGCCTTTAGCCAGGGCTCCTCACTCTTCAAGCACCAGCGTGTGCACACCGGAGAGAAGCCTTTCTCATGCCCACAGTGTGGCCGTGCCTTCAGCCATAGCTCCAACCTCACACAGCATCAGCTGCTGCACACTGGCGAAAGGCCCTTCCGCTGCGGGGACTGCGGCAAGGCCTTTGCCAAAGGCGCAGTACTGCTCAGCCACCGGCGCATCCACACGGGTGAGAAGCCCTTTGTGTGCACGCAGTGTGGCCGCGCCTTCCGTGAGCGCCCAGCCCTCTTCCATCACCAGAGGATCCAAACTGGAGAGAAGGCCCTTCGGAGGCCCAGGGGCGGCATGCACTCCCAAGTCAGGTCTCTAGTGGCATCCTTAGATGGTACACCTCCCAAGACCACCCTGGACTCTGGCAGCAGTCCCAAAGCTAGCTGAGGCCTGAGGTCACAATTGTGCACTTCCCTGCCTTCTCTGAATACCTGTCACTCACTGTTGAAGAGCCTGTGTCCTCAGCAAACCCACTGAGAAGCCCTGTTATGTGAGACAGGTATGGGGAAGACTTGCCAGTTGGTACCATTTACACATGACAAGACCTGTTGTTAAGCCACAGTTCACACCTACACCCTGAAAGAAGCCATTCTGGAGAGGCATCCGGAGTATGCATGTGTCCCCTGGGACTGGTGGAGCAGACAAAGACTGCCCCCAGAATAGGTGGGTAACCCACAAACATTATCTTCATGTTGATGCCACTTCTGTATTTCCTAACTGTGGCTATGAAAACCAGGTGGTGGTGGTGAACACCTTTAATTCCAGCACTTGGGAGCCAGAGGCAGGTGGATCTCTGTGAGTTCGAGGCCAGCCTGGTCTACAAGAGCTAGTTCCAGGACAGGCTCCAAAGCTATAGAGAAACCCTGTCTCAAGAAAAAAGAAAAGAAAGAAAAAGAGGAAAGAGGAAAAGAGCAGGTGGTAGGTAGAGGGCTGAGGAATCTGCCTGCTCAAGCTAGCAGCTGGAGATGCACCCCCATCTGTGCAGTGCATACAGTTTCCTTGCTGCAAGCCTCAGGCAAATAAATGGTTTGTTTCTGAAGCTCGGCTTTCTCTGTGAAAACGAAGAGGGAAGATTTGGGTCAATGGAGGGCAGTATTAAAAAATACTGACTGCTCTTCCCGAGGTCCTGAGTTCAATTCCCAGTAACCACATAAGGGCTCACAACCATCTATAATGTATTTCGGTGCCCTCTTCTGGCATGCAGTGCAGGCAGAACACTGTATACATTTAAAAAAAAATAGCAACTGGATGTAGCAACACAAGCCTTTAAACCCGGTGCTTGGGAGGCAGAGGTAGGCATATCTCTGTGGTCAGCTTGGTCTACATAATGAGTTCCGGCCCCAAGCAGAGCTACATGGTGAGACTCCACATAAACAATAAGTAGACAAATAAATGGATGGATGGCGCTCTAACAGAATCCAAATAAAGTCCAGGTAGGCTCACTGCAAGGCATGAGTTAGGTGCTGCACAGTAAGCAGCTTTGTGACTGCTTCAAGGGAGAAAACTGAGGGACACAGAAGAAGTAGTGTGGCCTGGAGCACAGTACAGAACCAGGACTGAGTCTCACAACTGCTTCCCTGCAGTCTGCCAGGCTTGAAGGGCTGGCATAACCCACCAGTAGGAAACGGAGACAGGTAGGGTCTCAGCACTGTAAGCTGGAACAAGGATGCCGATTGCTCATCAGCATCCATTCCCGTTCTCACCCCAGCCTGCCATTGGTCATTACCAAAGCCCATGCTACATGAGCCTTTACACCTGAAGTGCGGTAACTTTAGAGGAAATACGATGGCACTGCTAATTTCTGCTGGGCTTGGCCATCATTTAGACACACACACACCTGCCCCTATTGTCCCCACCTTGGTTGGAAGGTAAAAAGCTGAGCTGGGAGGACTTGACATTTCCTATGAGTGGGTGAGATTCAGTTTGCTTCTTATGGCCTTCGTTAGACCAGGCCCCATTTGGACTTTAGGCCACACCACCAGGGAAATGGAGGCATGGTGGCGCTTACTTTTAATCCCAGCATACAGGAGGAAGAGTTACAGGCCAGCCCGGTCTACAGAGTGAGTTCAGGACAGCGGAGCTACTATGCAGAGAAACCCTGTCTCAAAACAAAACAAAGAACTAGGTTTGATGATGCATGCTTAGAATCTCCACCTCTGCAGTTCAAGGATAGTTTTAAGTCCTTTCTCTATAGCTTTGGAGCCTGTCCTGAAACTAACTCTTGTAGACAGAGATTTGACTGCCTCTGCTTCCCGAGTGCTGGAATTAAAGGTGTGCGTCACCACCGCCCGGCTGAGGCCCTATCTTAAGAAGAAAAAACTTAGCCAGGTGTTGGTGGTGCATGCCTTTAATACCAGCAGTCTGGAGGCAGAGGCAGATGCAAGGTCTACAGAATGAGTTCCAGGACAATCAAGGCTACAGAAAAATCCTGTCTCGAAAAACAAAAATTGAGATACCTTGACTTTTTTGTTTCTTTTTTTGTTTTGTTTTGTTTGAACTCACAGAAATCCACTGCCTCTGCCTCCCAAGGGCATGTGCCACCACCACCTGACTATCCTGACATTTTTAACATCTGTATGGACAGTAATAGTTGTTTTTAACCTTAAAACAATGCAGATAGTTTAAGTGGAGAACAACCTGCAATTGTCCACTGTACTTAAGACACCCCTGAGCCGGACGGTAGTGGCGCACGCCTTTAATCCCAGCAATCAGGAGGCAGAGGCAGGCGGATCTCTGTGAGTTCGAGGCCAGCCTGGTCTACAAGAACTAGTTCCAGGACAGGAACTAAAAGCTATGGAGAAACCCTGTCTTGAAAAAAAAAAAAAAAAAGACACACCTGTCCCACCCATTTGTCAATGAAATCTGTCCACTAAACCTCAATAGCCCATGCAGGGAGGGGTGCTGTGCAGAACCCAAATGCCCAAGGTCCTGTAGGGGCAAGTTCTCTGAGCTAGGCCTCCTGTGATACCCAGTGGGTATACTCAGCTCCTCTTAGATGGAGCTGTGTAATGCCAGGAGGGCTCAGAAACATTATGCTGTATAATTTTTTTGTGCCGTATAATTTTATTTCATTACTCTAAGGGCAAGGCCAGTAGGTGACCATAGGTGAGGTCTCTTACAGATTCTCTGGATCTAATTCTCACAACCAGCCAGTGGGGAAAGGCTGAGTTTTAAGGGGTTTCCCAGGAAGCTCTCCCCTGGAAACACCTTTGTTCTAGGGCTCACCTTCCTGGTTAGGTGGCTCCCAAGCCTTCACTGTGCTGCAAGGTAGACCTGGTTGAATCTTGTGGTATACCTGTTCCTCCTGAAACAACCACTGAGCTAGTCCCAACTCCATTACATATTATGGTTATATTGGGTTGACCAGTGTAATCATAACAAATTTTTTATTATTTATTTAACTTTATTTTATGGGCATTGGTGTGAAGGTGTCAGATCCTCTGGAACTGGATTTTCAGACAGTTGTGAGCTGCCATGTGGGTGCTGGGAATTGAACCCGGGTCCTTGGGAAGAGCAGTCAATGCTCTTAACCGGCGGGCCATCTCTCCAGCCCATAACAAATATTTTTTGAGGCAGGATCTAAATTCCCCAGGTTGGTCTCTCAGCTATCTTACAGCAGAGACCTCATCTCTCAAGGCAATCCAGCTGGTAAGCCGAGTTGACAAACTCCCCACACAACTGCTTGGGAGTTTCAGATGTTGTACGCCAGCAGCTGGCAGCCAAGGAGGGGGTTCCCAGGAATCAGCAGAAACTAAACACATCCAGTTCAGGACTGAATGATTATATCATAGTATATGGAAACAAAACTAACTCCACATACAATTCGATTTAAAAGCCGTTAACTGCTGCGTGTGGTAGCCCATGCCCTTAATCTCAGCAGACAGGAGGAAGAAGCTGGAGGATATCTGAGTGATCTCCAGGCCAGCCGTAGATAGTTGTTTTCTTTGGTCTGGTTTTGAGACCCTGTTCCCCCAAAACAAACATTTTTTTTAAATGTTTAAAATAATTTAAAAAGTTAAGCCATTAACTTATTTTTTTTTCATTAACTTATTTTTAAAAAGCTTTTTTCCCAAAAATTAATATAGGTCAATTTGTCTAACTGCAGCCTCCAAATTAAAGGTTGAGTGTGTCCCATTATCTCAGATAGAAACCTCCATCCTCATTTGGAGTACCGTTATCTAAGACTGTTAGTGAGAGGGTAATCACATGATTTACCTCCTCTGAACGCTTGCCCACCCCATGGGCCTATTGCCCCCACAATATCCCGGGAGCTTAAGGGGGTGTAACAGAGGCCATACTGGGTCCAACACTGTCTCCCCTGTCTCCCACCGGGATCGTGTGGAACAGCCACCTAGGCCTTCTACGCCCTAGGGCGACGCTTACAGTGTTGCTTTGGGAACAGCAAGGGCTGTGCACTGACTGTTACCTAGGCGACACACGGAGCAACGATACCTTCTGGAGCTGAGCGCCAGCTCTAATTGGTCGGGACACCTCACCAGCCAATAGAAACCAGGTCCGATGTGCACATGCGCAAGGAGGTTATCCCGCAGTCCGGTCCGCAGTGGGTGAGTCCTTCGGTTGGGGTGCAAAGGCAGAACGGTTGCCAAATCAAAATAGGGTACCCCAGGAACTCTGCGGCGGCACCGCGGGCTCAAGGACTGAAACGAGTCTCGCGGGTGAGAGGCCTTGGAAACGCGCTGTCGTGTTTGCTGAGGCTCACGGGAGACGTAGTCCGAGCGGAGGGGGCCGTGCCTGTGGGGCAGGCGCAGGATTGGCCAAACCGGTAGGGTAACGAGCAAGGAGGGGCGTTCTGTGAGTGGCGGTGGGACGTGCGGTGTCACTTCCCGGAAGTGCCCCGAGCTTCTTGGTGCGCCCGGACGCGTTAGAGGTGTGTGCACTCCTGGCCGGGAGGGCGCAGCTTCTCATGGCATCCCGAGCTCCAGGAGCGCCCCCCAGCCTTCGAACACAAAACACCGGGACCCTCCCTTTCCGACATCCCCAACTCTAAAGTTCTCCTGGACAGGACAGGTGCCCCAGGAGAGCCTGTTTCAATCCAGAACCTCTTAAGGACTGGGACGCAGGTTCCAGTTTGTGACTCCACACAATACAGGGCTGTTTGGTTTGTCTTTTGCTTGGGAATTTCACAGGCAACGTGAGGCATCCACAGTTAGGCTATGATCAGCGAGCAGTGTCACCATGCCTATATAGGCCCCCGAGAGTGCACCCAGGCTTTCAGCTCAGTCCCAGGTGATGTATTTGGACCTCAGAGCCAACTCTTCTGCCTTCTGCGTGAAGCCTCAGGTTACCCTGGATGACGGTCCTATCTGTGTCCTCCTGATGGTTTGTCTGCTGGGGGAGCCACCCTCGTGTTCCAGTAGTCCTCTGTTGTACCCAAATGTTTGAGCCGGCCATTTGCAGTGTCCTAGAATAGACACCTTCCACCCAGGCATTTACATCAAGGCATCCCCCAGGTATCAACTGCTATAAGCTCGCACCTCCCATGACCTTCCTTGAAGCACTCCTGGCCTCAGGGTTCTCTGTTCTGGCTTCCTGGAAGGGTCTGGTGTGTGTCTTTGGCCTTAGATGACACTCTCATTCCTCCTCTTCTGTAGGTCCCTCTTGTCAGCTCCCAAAGACCCTTCAAAACAAGAATGTCTTCTCCTCTGGGTCCCTCACACGGATCCCTCAGGGACTCCAACACCACCACTGAGGAGCCTGAGGCTGCACGACTCCGATTCCGGGGTTTCTGCTATGAGGAGGTAGAGGGGCCCCGAGAGGCGCTGTCCCGGCTTCGAGAGTTCTGTCACCAATGGCTGCACCCTGAGTCATGCTCTAAAGAGCAGATGATAGAGCTGCTGGTTTTGGAGCAGTTCCTTGGTGTGTTGCCCTCTGAGATCCAGGCCTGGGTGCGAGGGCAGCAGCCAAGAAGCCCTGAGGAGGCTGCAGCCCTGGTTGAGGAGCTGCAGCATGATCCTGGGCAGCTGCTGAGCTGGGTGAGTGTAATAACGTCAGCTTCTTAGCGGGATAGATTGGAGGTAGAGCCCCTGTGACATGCTTCTCTTCAGATCACAGCCCACATCCTGAAGCCAAAGGTGCTTCTTACAGTCCAGAAGACAAAGGAGTCTTCAGAGAGCCACCACCTCTCAGTAGCAACGGAGTCCTCTGAGGCAGGCCCTGCAGGGGCGGCACAGGATGCGGGGTTAGACAGAGCTACCCAGATCAATTGCGGTGTGAAGGAGGAAGCCAATGCTGATGGACAGGAGATGGGTGAGAGGATGCAGCATCAAAATTTCAAATCCCTGGGTGTGTGTGTTGCGGGGCGGGATAGCCTAAGAGAGGTTGTGTCAGGGTTGAGACTCCTGAAATAAGTCTGGATGTCCCTAGCTGCGATGGGGACCCTGGAGAAACTATATAGCTGGATTCCTATGGAGCAAGACGACAAGGCTGACCTCCCACTATGTCACGTGACAGAGGCAGGCCAAGGCCAATGCAGCTTGACACTCTTTCCCATCTGCCTGTCTTTCTCAGTATCCCCAAGCCCTCTCTTTCCAGCCCAGAAGCCTGAGGGACATCTTGGACACCAGGAACCAGCCTCCACAGCCTTCCATCCAGGAAGGATCCAGGTAAGCAGCCTCCAGCAGGAAAATCAGGCCATGGCTGTGGGAGGGGAAGTGTATTATGGTTGTGTTCTGCCCTGTGGTTTTGTAGGCTCCTCTGCCAGTGACTCTTGTGTCTTGTTTTGTTTTACTACTTCTGAGTAGTAAATACCTTCCCTCCTAGCAGGTCTTGAGAGCTGAAGACTAAACTGGTAGTCTCTCATTGGAAAAGATTTAGGCCTGAGGTTCATGCCTGGTCCAGAGTGGCCAGAACTGGTGGACAGGGCTTCCTTGCCTCCAGAGAAGCCAGTTACTGGAGAGGCTTGCAATACCCAGGGGCCATGGGCCAGCTGTTGTGTATGCAGGTGGAAAGGAGACTGCCACTGCAGGACTCCTGTATTCCTGAGAGCAGATCAAGACATTCTCCCTGAGCATGCCTCAAGTTCCTTCTACTGTTCTTCTCAAAGTTCAGTGACCTGGAACCTTAGTGCAAAGCCCCTGCCACCTGAGTGTGCATAGTTAATGTGGAGTGGGAGTAGGGATCTTGGCCTCTCCAGGTGCTTTCTGTTTCTGAGCCTCTCCACTTGGGTGGGAGCACCCTTCCTCAATAGGATGTCTAGTTAAGTTGTGCTTCAAGATTAAGAAACCCCTCTAGGATCCCTCTCTGGTGTCCTCACTTCCAGCCAGCATCACCTAGAGATGTACCTGTCTGTGGCATCCACTTCCTTTTCCTCCAGATTTGCTTTGGGGTTATTTTTTCCAACATACCAAAGACCTATATGGCAGATCTTAGGGCAGGGAAGAAGGTAGATCTTTTAGGCAAGGAATTCTTTGCTTGGGAAGGCTGTTATAGGTAAGCCCTCGTCCTGCCACTAAACTCACCCTCTTCAGACCTTGCCTAAACCAGCTGGCACAAAACTCCCGAGCCTTCTCTATCATGGTTGCCTCCTCAGGTCTTCAGGGTCCTGAAATTCCTCATTATCTTAACCTTGGTGTTTTCCTGCCCTAACCTTTTTGCTTTTGTTTTGTTACATTTATTTTGAGACAGCATCTCTCTACACAGCTCAGACTGTCCTAGAACTAGCCATGTAGACCAGACTGGCCTCAAACTCACAGAAATATGCCTGCCTCTGCCTCTGAGCACAGGGATCAAAGGTGTTCCCCGCCATGCCTGGCTCCTTGACCCTCTTTCTAAATAAAATAAAATAAAATAAAATAAAATAAAACAAAACAAATAAAGGTTTTTGGTAATGTAGCTCAGCTGGTAGAGTGGCTGCCTTGCATGCACAAAGTCCTAGGCTGTATTCCCAGCACTGCATAAACTGGGGATGGTACTGCTCACCCATAATCCCAGAGCTCAGGAGGTAGAGACAGGAAAGTCAGAAGTTTAAAGTCATCCTCAGCTACAGAGTGAGTTTGAGGCCAACCTGGGCTACTCAGACCCAGTCTCACACGTACACACCCCAATAAAGGCCAAAAGAAGAAATTTCTCACCCCAAGGAAGTTTCGGTTTTGTTAACCAGTCTTGACAGAAAGTGACTGAATCCTGGGCAGTCGCCTGGCCTCTCACTCTCCTTCCAGCACATCCTGCACACAGTTTAGTGACCTGTTGAAAACCCACCCACAATGTCTGGACATCACTGAGACAGGCCACTGAGAGATGAAAGCTGACCCAGTCTGACTTGGTCCTTAGCCTGCTGCAGTTGGAGATTAGGTAGCCTGTCACCTACTGAGTGATGGATAGAATGTGAGGCTGGGAGGGAGAGGCAGTGACTGGTTACATCCTTGCAGAAGGAGTGGGGCCTGTTGGACTCATCACAAAAAGAGCTGTGCTGGGGTGTGATGCTGGAGAAGTACGGCACAGTGGTGTCCCAGGGTGAGGTTCAATGGCTCTTTGCCCTGTCTTCCCTGCCCCATCCTCCGCGTGCTCCCCTGCATGCGCTAGGCCCCCACTGGGGCTCCAGGGTGCAGTGACCCAGCATCTGGTTGCATCTCTCCTCCCAGGAGGTACCCACCCCCATTCTTCTGTGCAAGTCCCCGTGTGACCAAGCCCCCAAATGAACGTTTTCCCCACCCCAGCAAGCCTGCCGCTGTTAGAGCCAGATGTGCAAATTCAGTCTGAGCTGAGGCCAGCTCATGCCGCAGGACCGGAGTCCCTCAGGAGCCATCTCCCAGAAGTAGGAGCCATTGCAGGTCCAGGGCTTGTTCAAGCCTGCACATCCTCTCCAAGTGATGAGACCCAGAGCCCTTGCAAGGACCCTTCAGCCTTATCTCCCTCACCACTGCTGGAAGCCCCTGCTAGGCCTGCACCTCGGAAGCTGTATACTTGTGAGCAGTGTGGCCTCAGCTTCGATTGGAAGTCTGTTTTCGTCATCCACCATCGCACACACCTGGGTGGGTCAGGCCTGGAAAGGCCACCACAGGTGCACCGGGAGCCAGCCATTGGGCACTCCACTGGCCTTCGGGGCTATGCATGCGTGGAGTGCGGGCGCAGCTTCAGCTGGAAGTCACAGATGGTCATCCACCGCAAGAGTCATGCAGGCCGGGCTGGAGAGATGGCTCAGAGGTTAAGAGCATTGCCTGCTCTTCCAAAGGTCCTGAGTTCAATTCCCAGCAACCACATGGTGGCTCACAACCATCTGTAATGAGGTCTGGTGCCCTCTGCTGGCCTGCAGGCATACACACAGACAGAATATTGTGTACATGATAAATAAATAAATAATTAAACAAATAAATAAATAAAAAGAGTCATGCAGGCCAGCGGCGCCATTCCTGCCGGGACTGTGGGTGCAGTTTTGACTGGAAGTTTCAGCTGATCATTCATAGGTCCCAAGGTGAGTCTGCTCCTAATGCGGCACTCCAGGCATCTCCTCCAGCCAAGAGAAGGGCTCTGGGGCACCCCAAGTGAGTCAGGAACCCCAAGAAGATCCCCTGTCCAACGCCAGACCACCCAGTATGAGAAGAAGCTGTTCACTTTCTGTCCCTGCTTTATGGAGCCAGGTCAGACGGTACTAATCCACGGCTGGGGTCCTGGGGTCCGGCTTCGTAATTCTCAGAAATTGCCTTAAGTTCCTCCTTGCAGTGACCAGGAGAAAGAAGTCTCTGTGGAAGGTACAGAAAACCACAGCTGCCTTTTCATCCTCTTGCATGTGACCCTCAACTAACGTGCCAGGTTTTTAATGTAAGTTATGTCTATAACTAGAATTTCTGAGGAAGAATTTTTTTTTTTTTTTTTTTTTTTTTTTTTTGGTTTTTCGAGACAGGGTTTCTCTGTGGCTTTGGACCCTGTCCCGGAACTAGCTCTGTAGACCAGGCTGGTCTCGGACTCCCAGAGATCCGCCTGCCTCTGCCTCCCGAGTGCTGGGATTAAAGGCTTTGAGGAAGAATTCTTCCAGTTTCCACTGATCAAAAGAACAGCCCTGTGTCTGGCTGACGAGCCACGGGAACCACAGGGCAGCTGAGCCCAGACACTTCAATTAGCCACTTCGCTCCAGCCTGCCTAGTTGCCTGACCCCACGCACTGCTCGCCACCTCCCTGGTCTTTGAATTCCTGAACCTGGACTTGGATGAACAATAAGGGACTTTCCTTGGGGAATGTGAGAGGACGTGAGTAGCTTCTGAGAAGTTAGACAATACATGGTTGCCTCAGGCCATGCATGCCCCTAGGTCAGGCCTACACCCACACGACCTGGCAGTTCATCATTAAACTGGAGGGCAAAGAACAGCTCCCTGCTGCCCGGAGAACTGTGACCCTCCGGACAGTCACTCATGATTTGTCCGTGCATGGTGTCCTATTAACTATGTCTGTAAACTAGGTGGCTCGAAACATTTATTTACTAATTTTTCAGCATCAAAACTCTGAAATAGATCTCACTAGAACAAAGGTGTTAGTAGGGGGCAGGCTCCCCCTGGGAGGTGCAGAGGTCACCCGAGGCCCTTGACTTAACTGTTTCTTCTTCCATCTTCAGCAGTGGGCAGTTCTTTTCCTCGTTGGATCAGTGATTTCCACTTGCAGGACATGGGGGGGCCTTATATATTCCAGGGTGATCACCATCTTTAGGTCAGATGGTGAGGCAGGAGATTTATTTTGTTTGAGACGGGGCCACCTTGTGTAGTAGAGGCTGGTCTCTAACTGGTGATCCTCCTGTCTCAGCTTCCTGGGTGCTGGAACTATAGGCTTGTACCACCAAACCCAGGTTGGTACTTTTAAATTCTCTGTATGTGTGTTTGAGATAGTCTCGCTATAAAGTCCAGGCTGAGCGCAAACTCCCTGTAGCTCTCCAGCATCAGTCTCCTGCGTGCTGGGATTAAAGGTATGCACCATCAGCTGGGCGAAGACTCTAAAGACTTTTCATTTTCAGATCTAGAAATATGGAGCAGGATTCAGTGATGTAGGCAGATCTCTGTTAATTTGAGGTCAGACTGGTTTCCATAGTGTGTTCCAGGACAGACAGGAGCTATGGAGTGAGATTCTGTCTCAAAAATAAGTAAATAAATAAATAAACAAATAAATTCTAGAGATGGGCATATTAAAGTTTCTTCTAGAAACTTGGGTTTTCAACACTGTCCGTTATTGCTCACTGCTCTGCAGTTCCTTCCTTCCTTCCTTCCTTCCTTCCTTCCTTCCTTCCTTCCTTCCTTCCTTCCTTCCTTCCTTCCTTCCTTCCTTCCTTCCTTCCTCCGTGTGTGTGTGTGTGTGTGTGTGTGTGTGTGTGTGTGTGTGTGCAAGTACACACATGGAGACCAGTAGAGGGTATCAGGGTCTCTACCTATTAATCTGTTGATGTTCGCACTGGGATTCAAATTCCAGTGCTGGAATTTGAACTCTGCTCCTCATGGCTTCACATCAAGGCTTTTAACTGCTGAGCCATCTCTGCAGTCCCACTGGGCAGAACATTATTGAAATGCTTGCTCAGAGTGCCTCCTAGCTGCTCCTATGTGCCTCTTCTTTCATGTCCAGACGATGTATGCCTTCCCTGTTCCTCCTGCACCTGGTCATAAATGGTTTGAATTTTCATGCATTCCTTAAATCCCTTCGCTATTCATTAAGTTTTCCCTATAGCAACTTCCAGAATCTGCTCTTCACATTGTTTTCTGAGGAGAGCTGAGATGATCTCTCCATAAGGCCCAAGCCTGCCCTCAGTTTTTTGTTGTTGTTGTTTTGCTTTGTTTTTATGTTTTTTGTTTGTTTTGTTTTGTTCTGTTTTTTGAGACAGAGTTTCTCTCTGTGTAATAACCCCGCTGTCCTGGAACTCACTCTGTAGACCAGGCTGGCCTTGAATTCACAGAGATCTGCTTGCCTCTACCTCCTGCTGGGATTAGTGTGCACCACCACTGTCTAGCTTGCCCTTAGTCTTTTTTATGTCTGTGTGAACCATATGCATGCACTGTCTGCAGAGGTCATAAGAGAGAATAAAATCCCCTGAAACTAGAGTTGGAGGTGGTTTGAGCACCATTTTGGTGCTAGGAACTGAACCAAGGTCGCCTGCAGGGTCAGCAAGTGCTAACCACAACTGCTGAGCCATATCTTCAGCCCTCTGCCTTAAGTTCTTGATCCTTGATGAATTTCTTTCTTCTTTTGGAGACAGAGTTTCTCTGTGTAGCCTTGGCTGTCCTGGAACTCACTCTATAGACCAGGCTGTGCTCAAACTCAGAGATCCACCTTCTCTGCCTCCTAAGTGCTGGGAATAAAGATATCTGCCACCACCACCCATCATTGGTGGCATCTTAATTACAGATGTGTGCACCACTACACCTGACCCTCTTTTTGTTGTTGTTTTGTTGTTTGGAGGTTTTTTTCTTGGCAAGAATTCATGTAGCCCAGATCCTCACCTGCCTACTACACCTTCCGAATGGAGGGATTACAGGTGTGTGTGCCACCATGCCACCCAGCTCACACCTAGCCCTCTACACTTACCAGGTGGCCGCTGCTGTAATAACCATTCATCTTTTCCTTGGGCTAAGCTGGGCAAAGACCAGGGAGGTGTCTTTCTGCACTATTCTAGCTACTGTGAGTCTCCACAGAGTCTTTCTGTAATCTTAAACACTATTCTAGCTACTGTGAGTCTCCACAGAGTCTTTCTGTAATCTTAAACAGTCCTCATGATAGCCTCACCTTTTTCTTCCTCCACACTACCCTGTTTAAACCTTATGGAGTTCAGATACCTCCCCAACCTCAGTTGCCTAGCTGACCCAATGATTGATAGAGCTGGGATGTGTCCTGGGCTTGTCTGACTGGAAATATCCCTGGGAGTAATGAGATGGATAACGTTAAAGCCAACTATTATGGGAAATGTAAATAAGAGAAACTGGAAGAGAGGAGGGCCTCAAACAAAGCAAGCTCCCTTCCCCACTGTGTTCCCACAGGGATTGCTGAAGAAAGTGCTCCCCTCAACTTAAGCCTGATAGCAGACTTCCAAACAAGCCAGTCACATCCTTGAGTGGGACCAGGAGCCTCTGCAGCTCAGCACAAGGCCTCCTTGGCTCTTGTCCTGCAGTTCGTTCCAATTTTTATTCTTGTTGTTTTGTTTTGGGTTTCGTTTTTTGTTTTTGGTTGTTTTTTTCAAGACAAGATTTCCCTATGTAGCCCTGGTTGTCACAAACCTCTCTCTGTACACCAGGCTGGCCTCAAACTCATAGAGATCTGAGTGCCTCTGCCTCCCAAGTGCTCGGATTAAAGCTGTGCACCACCACTGCTCAGCCAGAAGACTGTCTTAATTGTTGTACAGTTTGTTTTTCATAGATGGACACAGTACAAACCTGTAATCCCAGCAGATAGGGTAAAGGCAGGATGATCAAGAGTTCAAGGTTCCAGCCTGTGTTACAGAAGACCTTGTCTGATAAAACAATTTAAAAATAAACAAATAAGGGGGCTGGAGAGATGGCTCAGAGGTTAAGAGCACTGGCTGCTCTTCCAGAGGTCCTGAGTTCAATTCCCAGCAACCACATGGTGGCTCACAACCTTCTGTACTGAAATTTGGTGCCCTCCTCTGGCGTGCGGGCAAATATCGGGGCAGAATGTTGTATACATAATAAATAAATCTTTAAAAAAATAAAATAAACAAATAAAATTGGTATCATCTTTTGGTGGATTTTTCCAGTCATAATAAATTTAGAACAAAAGACAGAATGCAGTGTTTGACAACAGTGTATACACACACACACACACACACATATGTATATGAGTGTGGTATGTGTGTGTTTGAATGTGTGGGTGCACATGTATCCAGGTAGAGTGTGGAGGCCTGAAGTTGGTTTGGGGAAACTTCCTTATTCTCCCAGTTTATTCTTTGAGGCAGTATTTCTCAGTCAAACCCAGAGCTTGCTGATATGTCTCATCTTACCGCCATCTTGCCCTGGGGACTGTCTCCAAATTCTGAGGCTGGGATGGCTGCTCCTTTGTCATTTATGTAGATTCTGGGGATCCAAACTCTTGTCCCTTTGCTTGTACCACAAGCACTTTAAGATATGAGCCATCCCACTGCCACCCAGGCACAATCCTGGCTTTGAGTTGACCCAGCCCAAGATCTACATGCATGACCTGGAACACATCGTTTGTAACCACACTCAAAGCATCTCCATGGCTTGGAGCATCAGTAGGATATCTGAGCGAAACATCAGAGCAGGGTGATATGGATGGTGTACCAGAAGTCAGACGCCTCGAGCAACCTAACAACTCGTTACACAATGAACATTTGCAAGTAAAGCTGTTTGGACAAAAGGGTCTACTGTGCGACACACTGCAGTTTCCAAGGACACTAAGATGAATGAAGAGGGGATGGAGATTTGGGAAAGATAGAGGAGTAAAGTGGGTTTTTTTTTTTTTGCTTTTTTTGTTCTTTTGTTTGTATTAATTACTATTAATTAATTAAAATTCCCTTTTGGGAGGTGCACTGCAAGGGTGAAGGGTGGGTATGA